CCAAAACATGAAGTTTAGCCAATAGGTAGGTCTTCGCAAGAACCTTATAGCGCCCGTATCGTGGTAGATAGAGGCTTGTAAGCTGCGTTTAATTAAAGAGGGCAGTTCCTTGGATCGATTCCCCATCTCGGAATTAAAATCTAAAAGATTTTCGTAGCGGTCGGATGTCCTAGATTATCGATCGAAAGGCACACTTGGTATAAAATAATACTTGGTAAAATATATGAAATATGTGAAAGAAATATTATGCTATCTTTATGTAGTCACAGCAGATAGAAGTTTGCTACACTTAACTACATGTATTTTTCCTGTAAACATCAAGTTCGTCTATTAATGCAACTCGATGAGCTCTATCCAACCATGATAAATAAAAGCCAAAAGAAAATTCTTGCTGTAATTTTGAATTACCGGCACCTTACAAATAATTTTTGTCAAAAACAATATAGACCTCTCTATTGTTATAGCCATAAGTCTGTATGCAAGATGCCTAGTGATTTCAACATTTTACCATAGACAGGAGAGCCAACGGGCAATCTCCTGGTAGTTTCATCATTTTATAAAACATCTTAGTTACAGAATTACGAGCAAAACACTGTTCGTACAAATAATTTTTGCCGTCACTGTATTTTTACTACATATTGTGTGTTTTATAGAAATACTTTCTGTGCTCAATTGACGCACCCTGAAGACATTTAAAAATTTGGTTTTGATCCACTTAATTGGAGTTTCCCCATTAGATAAAGTTTCAACATTGCTATGATAATGGGACGGTACATTCAAAAAACTTGATGATGTAGATCGAAATCTGTCAAACTGGTTATTAATGAACTAACGAATGACGCTATCTTTTTCCATCTCACGATAATGGAAGATTAAAGCTATGTATCTATACGCATGTCTACAGATGTGACTGATAAAGATAAAATTGAAAGTTGAAAAGGAAAGTTCTAGTTTATTTGCAAAGGTTCGCTTTTTCTATACTTTCTGATTATTATGTTTTCCTAGATCATTCGAAGATCTTTGATTTTAATTTTTTTAGCTCACATGATCATCACTTTAAAACGATCATCTAAATGAGTTCTTTTACTGATGATACGTTTCTCACGTTCTTCGCAATAAAGCCTTATGAATCCTTCAATATTTGATTTTAATGTCGCCGACGAAGTCCAAGCTGGATATGCAAAAATTAAAGAAAGTAGTGCATATCAGAGATTGTACAAAAAAGAACGTAAACAAGAATCATTCAACGTAGACAAATTTACGTTATCAAATCAATCTGGCTGTTCTGATAATGTAAAACCCAAAAAAACAAGTGTATTAGAGGAAACAATTGAAGATCGTGTATCGCAATCAAAACATAATAATTTAAATTTAACTATGATAAACGAGAATAATAATTATGAAGAACAGAATAATTTGAATCAACATGAGCATCAACAAGAAGGAATAACACCTTTTGTATGCATACAGAAATAGATATAAAGGAAGAAAAGAAGACAAGAACAATTTTTATGTTTTTATCCAAAAGGAAAATCGTATGAATTTCAGTTTAATTTTAGAAATTGCACGAATTTGGAATGACCAACATAACTTTCTTGATCACTTTTCGGAACATCATAGTCAGAGAAGCCCAAGTTCTACATTCATTTTTTCCAGTAAAATCGCTGAAGTTGAATTGAAACGGATCCATTTTACTAACTTTTACGTTAGCTGTGGCTTATGAATGATTAAGGGTGTTGACTGTAACCAGTGTATTGTGTCTTTTTGATTCACATAGTTAGTTTTTTCAAAAAATGCAGCTACTTTAAATTTTTTGAACCTGGCCGAGTGATTTTGATACTTTCTTTTTCCTTTTTCAACGATAGTTTTTTATTTTGTGGTTATTTCCATTTGTCTATGTTACGTTTCTTCAGATAGCCAAGTACAATGCTTTGCGATTCTTGACTATCTATGATGCTTATTTTAGCTGACTAATAAATATACTTAGGGCATACCAAAAGTTCGTAGGGTGATACCTTAATACCTTATGATACGCTTTAAGTAACGTTCTATCTATATAGTTTGATAGAGAAAAGAATGCTCTACTTTTCTACGCTATTTGATCATACTTCAACTAATATCATAATAATAAATATTCGATAAGATCTGTTTCGTTTGCATACGTGTTGGTTATATGAATACTGATGAGTATTTTTTGAATAACTTTTGATAAAAACAAGATAGAGAGCTGTAGTTTTCACTACCGGAGTGGAATTTATATTTGATAATTCAAAATTCACTGTAAATAACTTACCAGATTTGTTTGTTCTTAAAAAAGTCAATGGAAAACCTTACAAAAAACAAATCAGGAAATCCTGGAATATACGATTCGATGTGTCTTCATCTCC